TTGTCAAAAAATGCGTCCTGCCATCAGGACGCATGGTCACAGAAAACATTTTTTTTGCCGAGTTTTTTTAAAAGCTGAATTTTTTGGAATTTTTATCAGTAATTATGAAATCATAATCTTCTGGAACGCTAGATACTCGATATCTGCGCACAAGACGTTTTTTGGAACCTGCATCCTGCCATCAGGACGCATTGTCGCCAACGTGTTAAAGGAATGCAAGAGTCCACTGATACACGAACGAGATCTTGCAGCCCGAGTTGGTGCTTTCACAACAGACTGGTTCAACAGACGCCTCCTAGCATTCACACTCTTTGTCAGTGACCATCAGTGTGTCCTCCATCCTCTTGCCAACGTGCTCCTCGGATCTCTTATTGTTGAAATCTTTGGGACAACCAGATACGTTGTGTCCTCGGGCATGGTTTGTTGTCTCCTCTCCCATGGTCTTCGATGACCAGAAGCAACGACTGACGATCGATAGGCATCATTTGCACAACAGGTCATGCGGCGCCATTGCACCAGCCGCTCCGGGATGCCTCTGCACTATTGAGTGCTGGCAGGGAGGTGTAAATATGCTGCCAACAGCGACGCCATTTCGACGGCTAGGACATATAGGTGTTTTCTCTGCCAAATATGATTACTATTACACTGCTCCTAAGAACTACTTCTTTGCCAATTGATGAAATAAGCTAATTATGGTCCGTCCTCTTCATTTTAATAAAATTTTAAGTGCAGGAAGAAAACAACCGTGGGGATACTTGCAGACATTATGTGACAAGTTATATCATAGGAATCTCAGGAACTGCAGCAAATGAATGTAGGCAAGAATTCTTGAAGTAAAAGTGTCTTGCATATTGCTATCCTGTCGTGTAGATGCAGCCTTCGGTGGAAAGAATCCATGTTTAATTTGTTTTTCTATCCCTACCATCACAGATGCCAAGACAAATGTTCCGGCTCGTGCCCTCCCTGCAACAAAAAGTGCCAGAATAAATGTGAGCACAGCCGTTGCGCCAACAAGTGTGGCGATCCTTGTTCCACATGCCAGGTGGTTCATCAGCAATTCCTTTTAATTTCCAAAGAAACACGTTTTACTCAATTCTGTTTTTCTTCTCTTACCCAGGAACCGTGCACTTGGCAGTGTGACAAAAGTTGTCCTAAGAAATTGAAGTGCACGAATATGTGCCGTGAAATATGCAACCGCAAACCATGCAACCAGCCCTGTCCAAAGAAGATTAAGAAATGCAACCATCCATGCACCGGCCTCTGCGGAGAACCATGTCCTCCTCTATGCAGAATATGCAACCCAGAACTATCTGAGTTCCAGATCTACGGGAACGAAATCGACGAGGATGCCAGGTTTGTGTACCTACCAGACTGCGGGCACTGCATCGAAGTGAAGGCTATGGATCAATACATGAAGATGGAAATGGAAGTAATCGGGATGAAGAAATGTCCCCTTTGTCACACGGTCATCTGGTCGTCGGTGCGGTACGGGAACATCGTTCGACAGCTCTATCGCGATGTTGCTGCTGTGAAGGAGAAGGCCTTTGGTGACCCGAAAAAAAATCAAGATGACTTCTTGAAGTCTTTCCAAGACTTGTTAAGGCAGAGTGAGTTTAAGGCTTTCCTAATACCAGTCTGGTAAATGTGGCAAGATTACAAATTGCATATATGATATTGCTACTCCCATTCAGGTCTAAACGGGTGGGGGGGGGGGGGTTAGTGTTGAGACAATGTTTTAGTTCTGGTGTATTATTTGCGATCTAGAGTACACATTTTTCTATTGTATTGAACTTACTGGAAGACGGTGTCCCTGTGAAAGTTTAGTACAGGGTGTCCATAAAGTCCCAATCTACGTTATTAAAAAAAAAACTCAAAATTCCTATAAAAATGCATATTGTGCGCTTCATATTGTCAACAATGAGTCAGTTATGAGTAAGTTAAGTTAAGATTTAAGAGATCGTATCTATGCTGCTGTTAACACAATAACCCCTGAAATGCCGAACAATGGGTTCTGGGAAACAACAGAACGATTGCAGTTATGTATCGATTTGGAATTGCAACAAATAAAATTTTAATGACTGACTTTTAATTACTATCACCAGTTAAATTTCGTTCATTATTGACAATGTGAAGTGCACATTATGCATTTTTGTAAGAATTTTGAGTTTTTCAATAAAGTAGATTGGGATTTTATGGACACCCTGTATATGTATCATAAGTTATCAATCACAGGTGTGGTCTTGGGATTGCTTCGGTAAGAAGTTATTGAAATGAGAGGTGTTCTGATGATAATGTAAGGTGCGGCCTGATTCTATTGAATATTTCAGAAAAAGAATATTCTTATTTCTATTATCCTTTTTTCTTCTTAGCATGATGGCCTTGGCATGTTCTCTTTCTTCCAAATTCTCTTTATTTTATCTTTGTTTCGTAACTGTCTGTTCCCAGGTGCGAGCTCTCATCACTTGCGACCCGAATTCACGATCCTACAAAGGAAGACAGAGGTGGAGGCGAAAAAGATCCTGAATAAAAAAATGAATTTGAGCAATACACAATACACCCCGACAATCATAAACCAATTTGAGATCCTATCCTTCAAGCATCAGGTGAACTTCCTGGAAAATTTAGATCTCGCAACCAAGCAAGTAAGGCTCCAGACCACTGTCCAAGCTCGAATCATAAGTACAGCAAAGGAGGTAAGGCGCCTCGTGCATGTCTGGTTTCTCGCACTCACGATGTCCTATTCATGGATCTGTGATTCATGTTTAGATTGCGAATCGCGTGTTGTCACAGACGAGGGGCTTCAACGAATGGGAACTGAAGTCTTTTGCGGGGGAAATCGCACGTCTCTGTCTTATGGTTGAATACTATAAACTTCAGGTATTTCCATCTGTATTCAACTCATACATAGAAGGTCACTGTAACCTCACCAATCGTTTTATGGCTGGTGGTCTATGGTGTTCTATTTGCGACTGCAACTGCTACAGTGTTACGATTCATGTACTTTAAAAAGCCTAATTCATTACTTACTAGCTTTATATACCGTATATATGAACTAGTATTGGGTGTGAATGACATCATTGAAAATAGAGTGATGCATGGAAATGACAGAGACGCTATCGGTGAGAATTTCAAATCAGTAATGACTTCGTTAAGCACTAACTTTTCCTGCCAATCGTCTCAAGCAGGTGAATCGCCACGACAATCTCACCGAATGCACCACTCATGATGTTTCAGTCAAATTTGAAGTTGCCCTTGACAGAAATTTTATTATGAACTTCGATGCATAATGAAGAGAATGTTCTGGTAATTCAAGGAGTTGGGTGTACAGAGGCACCCAAGAGCCATGCAACACATTGAAAGAGCGAAAGTCCTGCTCCTCCGTCCGGAACCCTTCGCGGAAGAGATGAAGCAAGGGACTCTTTGGGAGTTGGATGCTGCATCGCGAGCCTTTTTAGGGTTGGGGATATCCATTAAAGAACGAATCACGAGCATCAAGGTAATGTTCTTCAGTTCGGCTATGATCCGTTGACCTGCGTTCGCCGTGAGGAGTAAAGGTCACCTGACCAGGTGAGTGCACTCTTTTTTGCAGACCGTGGACCTGGGACAAGGACACTGGTATAAGTGTCCCAATGGACACATCTATGCGATTGGAAGCTGCGGAGAAGCGATGAAGGAATCGAAATGCAACATATGCTGGGCCGGGGATGAGTGGGAAGAAGCATCCGCTTCTCACTGGGGACTGGCTTCTTGGAAAAATCAATGATTCGCATCACTCTGTCTCAAATGATTTCTGAATTTCTGTCTTCCTCAGGTGTAGTAATCATATGTCGGGTCAGGTGTGTCTCTTTTGGTCTCGGCGTGAACAAGTGAATATGTGTGAAGCAATTTCGCCATTCCGCAGCAGCCGTTGTACAACTAGAGTAATTCTTATTGATGAGTGTGAACCGACCCTTTCTCAAAGCATACGGTTTCTTTTTCTGGTAACCATGGTCGATATCTCGGATTTTTCTCTCGTTTGATGCAACAGTTCGAGAGTACTGTGTGTAAAGTAGATCGTTTTGCCTACCGAATGGGAAAAACGTCTCCACTCTTTTGTCGCCGGAATCGAACAGTTTTCCCTAATTTCAGTCGGCAACCCGTTCCTAAAACCTGTTTCATTATGACTTCCTCATTGACTTAATTCGCGTTATTCCCGTTATTCGCATCTATTCTTTTGATCTACGGCTTCCAGAATCATAACCGAATGTATTGACAGTTGCGGGAATTATTACATGCATTATTGACGTCATGCGTAAATGAATGAAGGTTTCCACGCTCGATAAGCGTGGAAACGAAAAGGAAGCACTTGTCACGACCATCAGATCTCCCCGTTGCATTTCGTTCTACTTGTGCCTCATATCCTTCCAGTAAAAGTCCAGTCGCCGACACGGCAGTCTCTGAATTTTCTTATTGCCCTATTTTTGGGCCTTCTTGGGTAAAACTGTCGAACCTCGCTTACCTCGTATTATCTTATATTCACATCCTCACAATAGACTGGAAAACCCATGCTGGAATGGCCATCGCGTTGCCTATCGTCCCAAAACCTCACCAGATCGAGCCTCGTGGAAGCTTTGAGTCCAACATGAAAAAACTGGAGTGGACGCGACCACAAGTTTCCACATGCGTCATAAGCAGGCATTTTATTTCAAGGGCTGGGAGTTCTTTTTTCATGGTATAAATGCTTTGATGACATTTTTGGCATTTAATTATCACCTTGATCTGATGACATTTTTTGAACTTTCACTTCCGTAAGGGGATCTTTAGAGGGGATGGGACTCATTTCCAGGAAAGCACATCGTGAAACGAAAGCGATCAATTGATGCAATTGTGATTTTTCAAGCTTGCAAAACTACGTCAAGCGCGTTCATTGATGGATCGCAGAAATGCGGATCCTGGTGTCGATCCAAAAATCGGCCTTGAAAGGGGTGAGGAAGGTCATTGACCTATCACGTGACCTCGGATTCGGGCCATTCGGCGTGACGTCATTCATCGCGTTTGTTCTCGCCCGACTGTTTCGGAGTCAAAAGTCTCGAAGATAATGAGACTGATTTTTGTGCTGGTAAATTCACTCACCTGTTTATTTTCCACATTGACTGGCTTGTTGCACAGAGTCCATCTTCAGATTATCGCTCAAATGATTAAAAAAATGCACTGGGTGGCCCAAAAGTCGCGCACCATAGGGGATGTCACTGTTGTACCAAATTAATTCTTTTTCTTTCTTTTCAGGAAAATGATGGCTGCAAAATTACCAATAGATGAGAGGGTGTACTTAATGATAATAAAATGAACGATTAGAATAATTATACTTCTTATTATTATCATTATTAATATAGTCCAACAGTTAAATCCCCTACGGTGCGCGACTTTTGGGCCACCTTGTGTACGAGGGGGCTTCAAAAAGTTCGTGGAAAATGTGTAGCTTGAAAAGAATATATGCGTGGATTTCAATCTCTTTGCACAAAAAGAAACTCTTACTAACGTGTTATAACATGCCT